CAACATTGCAGGGCAATTTCTTGGAATAGTCGGAAGTTGCACCTTGCTTGCTCGGAGATATGCTGCCACCCCGACCTCTCTTAATGATGCTGTCGGAAGGATCTGACCAAACTGCAAGGCTCCTGAGAGCCTCAGCACTGTAAACAATTCATCAAAATATGAGCTACTGTCTAAACTCCTGGTATCCCCCAACGCCTATACTGCTACCCTATAGAATCCCCTATATAATCCATTTCAGGAGTTTTGACTATAGCTCATATCAACCTGTAGGGTACCCTGCACGAATCGTGAGTGACAGAAGAAGCTGAGCAATCAAGAGTGCCCCACAACGGCTTTTTGCTTGCGGAATATAACACAATTGTATGCAAGGCCATAAGGTACGAAGAAGAACCAATTCTCATTGCAATCCCTAATCAGTATACCCAAAACCCTAGACCCCCAAACCCTAGTCCCCCAGGCCTGATTCAGCAACAGCGCGCAGGCAGTCAACAGAACGACGCATCCGCTCAAGCCTGTCATATTCACGGGTTTAGGGCTTAGGGGTTTTGGTTTAGGGTTTTGGGTTTAGGGCTTCAGGATTAAAGGTGATTCCAAGGAATCTCAACTATATACATCAGTGTAAATCCCTATATACCCCTCCGCAACCCTTTATGTCTGCAACCCTGTAACATAAACCCCACATAACTCCATGTTCTACAACCCCACATTTCCCCTGTAGCTGTATGTTTCAAACCCGAAGCCCTAAACCCTAAACCCTAAAACCCTAAAACCCTAAAACCCTAAAACCCTAAACCCTAAACCCTAAAACCCTAACACCCTAAAACCCTAAACCCTAAACCCCGTTTCCCCTATAGCTGCTCTTAATGAGACTGGCCATCTGCTGATCCGCCGCAAGGCTTATATACCTTTGGTAAGCGAGGAATGAAGGAATGGATCCTTATAGGGTTTAGGGTTTAGGGTTTAGAGTGGTCCCTAGGTTAAGGGCTTAGGGTTAAGGGTTTAGGGGTCCCTATATGACCCACTATAGTAGTTTCCATGTTCTTTTCCATTCCTTCTAAACCCTTAACCCTAAATAGTAGCTTCAATGTTCTTTTCCATGCCATCTAAACCGTCAACCCTACATAGTAGTTTTCATGCTCTTTTCCATTCCTTCATTCCCAGCGAAGCAAAAGGTAAGAAGGAAGCTTGCCTGTGGCTCGCTCCCGCACCATAACCTTGCTGTGTTGCAAGCCATTTTTTACTATCATAGGGCTTTAGGGTTTAGGGTTGAAGGCTTAGGGGAAAGGATTCTACCGGGTTGTGTGGGGATTACGTATAGGGGACTTCATAGGGATTATAGGGGATCAGGTGAGACATATAGGGTTGTTATAGGTAACTAGTATACTCATGAGAACCTGTTCAAGAATTCCGGGCAGCTTTCATGTAGCTCCAGCATAGAGAATAGAGAGGGCTCGTTCTCCCTGTATAGACCCCAAAATACTATCACCCTTGTTATAGAAACCCCCCATAAGTAAGCCTAATTGTGGGAAACCCCTGTAACAGGCCTTTTTGTTAATTAGGGTTTAGGTCGAATGGAAAAGAAAATGGAAACTACTATAGTGGGTTATATAGGGACCCCTAAACCCTAAACCCTTAACCCTAAGCCCTTAACCTAGGGACTACTATAAGGATCCTAGTCGGCAGCTGCTTGCGTATTCTTCCTTTCATTCCGCAGCCCAACGGCACGACATCCACAACGCCTTGCTTTTCATGTTTTGTTGAACCATATATTAAAAGATACTATAATATACCAAAACATGCAATGATATACTACAATATACTATAAAGTACTAGAATATACTTTAATAAACAATAATATACTACAAACTACCCATTCACCAGTTATGAGACTTTGCCGTAGACAGGCTGCAACTGCTTGTTCCTCTGCTGCTGCAACCATAGTCCCCCTTAAGTAGCTAGAATATGGCTTTGGGTATGTTATAATAAGATCCCCATATACCCCACATTCTATCTACTTAAGGGGGGGACTATAGTCGAACACTGAGCGCTATTGCTGTTAGTGCAAACGTTCTGAACCGCTTGGCATAGGCAGCGACATGACTTGCCCCCCGCCCCCCCCCCCTTAGGCCCATCTCGCCAATGCCTGCTGATTGTCCTTCTAAAGCTACTGATTTCTAGTTGAAAGCTTGAAAGCTTGCACTGGAGCAAGCACAAGAAGCCTTAGGTGCGCACTGTACGTCATCCAGGACGTTGCATGGAGGACATTGCTCACGAGGTATTGATAAGAGTGGGTGTAAAGCACCTGGGAATGCTTCTATAACCTTGATCACATGACATGTATCTGTAGCTGGATACCCCTCTGCCACGCCGCAACGTTACAGGCTGACAGTGTTGTTTGTTTGTTTCCCTAAGGGTCCAAGGACCCAAATAATAGGGTTTTAGCCCAAATGCTATAATATTAATGGTATTTGGGCCCTAAAACCCTATTGTTTGGGTCCTTGGACCCTTAGGGTTTGCTTGACGATGAAAACTGTGCTTGTGCACGAGATCGTTCTGCTGGAGCTGAAGTTCAGGAGTTCTGCATCTCGAGGTCACATGGCTGCGACATGGATTGCATGACAGCTCGCAAATCCATCCTGACATCAGAATGAAGAGAGAGCGAGCGAGAGAGAGAGAGAGAGAGAGAGAGAGAGAGAGAGACGGAGAAAGAGAGAGAGAGAGAGAGAAAGAGAGAGATATGTATATGTATATATGTACATATATGTATATAAATATGAATATACAAAGTAATATACCGTGTCCTTTGACTGGAGTGCTGGCCACAGGGGGCATCTGGAATCCCCTCATGCAACTAGCAGAAGCTTCTGCCCACAGAAATCAGCGCACTCAATAGACAGCCCACGACCTCTGCTGGAGCCGCTAGAAGTAAAGGACCTCAGGAAGCGTACGAAAAGGACTCTGCAGCAAACTGCTCCTTCCATTCTTATCACTATTACTATTACTGCTATTTTCTTATTCTTGCTAGAATGCCATAACTATTATAGATATTAATTAGTCTTTAGCATTATTACTACTGTTGGTATTCTTATTAGTCCTTTCAACCCTAAACCCTAAACCCTAAACTTTTAGTACGATTACTACCAGCTCCCACGCTCTGCCGATGTCTTGGCCCAAGACTGAGCCCCAACACCGCCAGGTCAGCGGCTTGTCTCTCATGCCTGGCCACCTGAAAAGCAAATGCGAAATAGTCTAAACTCCAAGGTTCCCCCCTAATAACCCCTAAAAATACCCACCCCCTATATAATCACCTAAATAGCTACAATCTAGGGAATTTAGACTACAGTTCAAATGTTTTTCTAAAGCACTTGGATGTGCGTGCTGTGACAGATTGGCAAGCACTTGCTTGTGCATTATCCTAGCCTGTACACCTTTACTTTACTGGACAACGCCAGCGGCGTGACACGAGACCGGCAGGAATGGAAAACTTGAGAAGTCTCTGCACCCATGCCTCGGTCGGAGGTGCAACAAAGGCCTGCGTAGACCTCTTGAAGAGCACAGCCGAAGACATGCTGACAGGAAAGCTAGGAGCCAAACCGTAAACCGCTCGCACACTCCACCTCGCCGACCACTATCCTACCTTTCCCTGGGCGCCATCCATCCCTGCGCCCTCCACCTCCTCTCCTCCTCTGCCCGGACCTAGTCACTACCTCGTCCTTGCTTGTAGCTGTAAAATTCCCGGCAGGATTTCTGGACCCAAGTTATTTGAGCATCTGCTCTGAGCATGGAACTCCGGCTATGTGTGCATCTACTCTACATTAGACAAGGCACTGACACTAAGTCATAAGCACACGAAAATAGCTGTGAAGAGATGATGGGTCTCCGGCAGCCCAGCAGCAGCAAGGCCCAACACAGCGGCGCCCAAGCGCCTTTGGCAACATTCTCCAAAACGCATGATACTCCCACTTGCCATAGGAAACGTGAAGTAGCGGCTTTCCCGAAAATGTTACTTCGTCTAGCATGACCCAGCTGTCTACGTCCAGCCTGCGCCGATGTCGCAGTAGGCGGTGGCAAGCCTCTGAGCGCATGGGGGCATGACACCTTACGACCCCATTCTACCATAAAATGCTATAATATACCATAATATACCATAAATATGACATAAATATACCATAAAATACTATAATATACTATACTAATACTCAGTAATGACTCAGGATGGCCCGGGCCTGCTGAGCGTGCATGGTGGGCACTGGTCTCTGGGTCCAGGCAGCTTAAAAAACAAAACTGTGCAGGTCAACACCGAGCCAACAAGCCCAGCAAGGATTTTTGCCGACAAGAGCGCATCACCAAGGAATTTGAAGGCTACCTGAGGTCCTGTTGAAACGTTTGCTTCATCCTCATAGCACAGCAAGCAATCTTTTTTAGCAGCTGCGGTCACGCAGTCGTGTGGCAGTCCACTAACACCTTGGGAAAGGTGCCAGAACACCTGGCAGCTTGTGCATCCCATCTCTGCTCTAGCTTGGCTATCTCGCTGCAGTCAGTTCAAATTGAAGGGTGCTTGGGCATCAAAAGACGCGATCCAATTTGACAATTCTATTCCCAAAGTGACAACACAAGCTAGATGCAGGCACAAACTCCCGCCTCTACATGTGTGGGCTCTTGGTCGTTCTTGGTCGTTTTGGCTTTCTAGGCTTGCGAGGATTCCAACTTCTAAATGCATCCCACCTGGCATCTGACCTTCAGGACGATGTCGTGCTCATTTGATTGTAGATAACCGGTATGCCGATGAGGATGGCTACCATGACGCAGTACCTTGTCGACGCGCATCTGCAGGCATTGCAGGTCTGCTGACTCTCTGCGAGGGAACAACTTTCCAACTGCAGAATCGAAATGCAAAAAATATGTGAGATGCCACGAAGAGGGCTTTAGAGCAGGTCGTAAACAGATGTCATACAAACCCTGCAATCATACAACATTCATGCTATATCCGAGCCCAAGGCTTGATCCCCATGCTTGGGCGATAGCAAGCGTAGGCAGCCTTAGCATGGATATCAAGAGTGGCAGCGTGAAGAAGGCGTGTTCGCTCAGGTCCATGATGACAGCAGTTACCGTGCAAGCAGTCATGCAATTCAACTCTTCTTCCTCAGCTTTACACACCGTGGCCGTGTTTCTGGTGTGCAATAGCTAAGCGCTGGGCTGCGACGACCAAGGCCCACATAATCAGTGTGAGCATAAGCATGTTCAACGCGGCTGGGAGCCTGCTGAATTCAAACTGCACTTGAGAATCTGTTTGTCGCAGCATTGAATTTGGGATACCTCGCTACGTCCCGCTTGTCCTCACTGCCCGGTTCAGGTTTGATTAGCACTGTTTCAAGAAGGGGGATAGCACAGAGCCAAAGAAGCTTCCACAACTGTTTGTAGTTCTGCCAGCCTTTCAAGCCCCAAGCCACGGAAGACATTGTCCAGGACTGGGAAAGCGAAATGCAAGGAAAAGTACCTGAAATGTTGACACAGCATAACGAGGACAGCCTTATCAAAGCTAGTGTTGTTAAGACAGCTTGGCCTACCCCGCTGCTAGCACTTTGGCAGCGCACGTGAGAAGCCAGCCCAACAATCGCCAATTCCACAGCAGTACAGGGTTGCGCGATACCGCCTGGCAGCGATTGAGCAGGATTTTTACGGCAAGCGTTGCCAGCAGGCTTTCAAGAAGATACTGCAAGAAGATCTGAGGCGCTATCCCTGCGGAACGGCTTGTCTGGCGGATCCATGGAATCTGACACGTAGAAGATCTCCTGCTAGGTGCATCAGAGCTGTCGTGGTGCTTGGGCTCGTAAGCCCCGGTCAAGATGGGCCACTTACAAAAGGGTTTTGGGAATATAGGGGTTATATAGGGATAATGGAAAAGAAAAAGAAAACTACTATTTAGGGTTTAGGATTTACGGTTTGGGGTTTAGGGTTTGGGGCTTGCTAAACGCAGGTCAGCATTCTGGACGACGTGATTGCTCGTATAGAGCCACGAGATGGACCTTCTAGTTATGATCAATGCTCCCAACCTACCCCAAACCCTATGAACCCTTAACCCAGTAGATTTCCTCAGTGACGACCTCCTGTGATGTCAGGCACGCAAGCGTATTGCCTCAGCTGACATTTTGGTAGTCTCCCTAAACAAGGGGACCCCAATATAGACCCCAAAATACGATGGTTCTTACTATGGGGATAATGTTGGGAAACCTCCATGTTGGTGCGAACACTCAGGAAGCGATAGCCTGTGTGCAGTCGGAATGGGGTTCCCAGCTTGCCTGCTAAAATCTTTGAAAACTAGGTGTATATGCGGCGGGGGTGGGGGGTAAATAGGGATTCCTACTACAAATGGAAAAATAAATGGAGCCTGGGATTCTGTATTTCTTGTATATATGTAGACCCTAAACCCTAAGCCCTAAACTCATCATAGCGAGTTAGCACAGCCAGGTCACAGGGGCAGCAGCAGCAAGTTGCCACCTCTGCTTGAATCTGATGAGCAATAATCCAAACTCCGTAAAGGGGGGTTATAAAAGGACTATGTAGGGGACTACTATAGCGGTTATTAAGGGGGATATTAGGAGTTCAGACTATGGCTCTTATGGCTCCACAACAGTGTGACACACAATGTCACGCAAAGAGCTCTCTTTCTCCAGGTAGGCATCTTACGAAACCCGATCATTTTATCTCTGATGGCGATAGTAGTCACCTATCACTTGGGGGTGACCCAAAATGATGGGTACCTTTTTGAGGAGTCCCTATAATAAGGATTATAATATTATGGTGTCTATATTGGGTTCCGCTTATTTTGGGAAACTACCACTTGGGCTTTTCCGTAACCTAGCACTTTCTAGGCGTGCAGCAGTTCAGCAACTTTCCCAGCAATTTGGCTTCTCGTTGAGATTGCAACTTCTGAGGCGCAGGCTCCACCTGTGCAGCACGTTCCATCTCGGCGCACCTCCTGAGAAACAATTTGCGGGGTGGGTGTTCTGAAAATCGTGGGCCCCCTTTTTTGCGAGCACCGGTACAATCAGGATCCTTGCGTATTGGGATCTATATCAGAATCCCCCGCCAATTGGTGGAAACCTTTAATCGGCCACAAAGAAGACCAACAGGACTTTAATGTCAGCAAAGGCCAAAGCTAGCCGAGCTGCTAGCCCAATTCCTACACCATCTGACTTGAGTCCAGCCTACGGCATGTCTGTACGATACATCGATACATTGAGATGTAGATGGAGGCTCTGTACACAAATCGACTGTAGCAAGAGCCAAAATATCCTCGTTCGATAGCTCTTTCTGCACCCCTCTCTGCGACTCTGCGGGTCCCTCCAAGTCTTGTCGCCCTCCTCAACCAACTTGAGCCGTTCCTTGTGCAGGGCAGAATTAACGGGATTCCATCTTAGTTGCTGTGTCCGGGTGCAAGAGCAATGGAACCAACAAGTGATTAACGCAGGTACACCGTCATTCAATGCTGTGCTCCAGCGCTGTCCTGTCGCTCATCATCGCAGGGTGCCTGGGCAACGACCCGATAAGGGACGAAGGTCTCGAAGTGATCCTGCAAATGTTCAGCCAAGACAAAGCTTTCAAGCAAACGAAACATTCCCGCTCTTGTCTGCTGTTCTCCGCTGTTGACTTAGGGCTGCGTCAAGCTAGATCGGTCCTTCTGACACTGCACGGCAACAACCGTAGCATCGCATTCTGGTGTGCATAGGAACCTGGCGCCCCACGTCTTTTGAGCTTAGGGCTTATTGGCTTAGACTGAGGTCCGGCAAACCACTCCGAGTGAAATACATGAGTCGTCACCCCAGCAAGCGTGTGGCATGAAATTGTCAGTTGTACATCGTCCTGAAAGCATCAAAGCTGCGACAGAATTCACGGGACATGGCCGAGCCTGACCCGCAAGTCGCCCACCTTGTGGATACTCAGGGATAGTGGAAAAGAAAATGGAAACTACCATACTACAATAGAGTATAAATTGGGGTTGTAGTGGGGAGTGAGGGAATTATATATATATATATAATTGAGGGACTATATAGGGTTCGGGAACGCTTATCCCAGCCTCCCTTAAAATACACAGGGCCATCAACACTATGGACCTTGCCAACTCTTGCCCTCATTCCTCTGCGCAGCGCCGCATGTACAACAGCTACGTCATGTAGCCGACTGGTGAAACTCATATACATATTTATGTGTGTATACTATAATCTATGTGTGCATACATATATGTATGTGTGTGTGTAAATATATATATATATATGTATGTGCATTCAGCATTATTGAGCCAGAGCAGGCTCAGCCAGGAACCTGATGTTTCTTGAAGAGCTCTGCCTGCATGGGCTGTTGTATGCCACACTACTTGGCTTCAAATGAGCTATAGTCTAAACTCCTGCAATCCCCCTTCATGACCCCAATAGAAGTCCCCTATATAATGCCCCCGATAATCCTCCTTTAAGGAGTTTAGACTACAGCTCAAATGATGGAACAGACTTCTTGTAGCAGCGGCAAGGGCCCCTGTTGAAGGATGCTGCAGCACTACTGTTGATACTAAAGATCCTGCATGACCTTAGCATACCATAGTACCATTGTTCCCAAATATTCCCAAGGTTTAGGGTACTTAGGGTCATGCAGGATATTTAGTATCCACCGTAGGATGTAGGAATTGAAACCCAGCTTCAGCACTTTTGTCCGAGAAAATGATGGAAGCGCTTCGCGCACTTGCCGCCTCCCTGCCGACGAACCCGGGGCGGCCGTAGAAGAAACCATCCTGGAAAATTGCCACGGTAATTTCTATAAATATTTCTACTATTATGTTATTACTCGTATTGTTGTTATTCTTACTTTTATTCTTGTTACTATTACTATTATTCAATTGTTATTCTTACTGGTTGCAAGAGTGCTGGCCAGCTCTTCCAGATCCAGTCTTGTAGCTACCCGCAGTGCAATTATCAGGCTCAAGCAGTCCAAGGCTCAGATATGGACTTATGGCTTATGGTCTTGAGTATGTGGCTTTTGAGACATCTCTTCCGCGGACACAGGGGTTGAATACATGGCTTCAGCTTTTTTCGGCGGAGTTGCCCATTCAGCTGGACATCAGATCGGTACATTCCACCCACTATCACATCGGTCTGAATGAGATTCAACAAAGATGCACTCCAATCTAAAGGTGGTTGGCGTACGGTTTGAGTGTGGTTGGCTTGTACCACGGTGCTTCTCCTTTTCAGAAACTTTGGTACTAGAATGAGGTGGTACAATGGCTCTGCCTCGAATGCACCCCTGCACCAGACTCAGGCAACCTTGATGCAAACTCAAGATTGCAGAGCCTGTGCATTCGCATGGAAGGTGATGCCCGCTGCATGCACCTGCACAAATGACAGCTGGAACGTTCGGCTCATGTTACATGGACATCCGCTTCAGGAGAAGAGGGCCAAAATTGATGAAAGCAAAAGGGAGGCGTTATTGTAATCTCCAGCACTACTGCCCGTGACCCGTTCAATTACAAATCATCATCGGGTTCGTTTAAGATTCCAATGCTTTGGTTCGCTTCAGGATTGCACTCGTAAAATGACTTGAGTGTGGCTTAGGCCTGGATGCTCTGTGATATGTACGCACTCATAAACAATTCCCTGGGCCTGCATGCATTCAGACAAGGACTGACTCGCAAGTGCGCGTCAATATCGTTAGGCATGCGTACATGTGCGTGTACACAAATATACAAATTCAGACATGCTATGCGATAGATGATGTGCAGCAGATCCCAAGACTTGCAACTCCCCAAAACCGCCCAGGAATCTTGAACAAGCTATACCCGATGTCATCGTGTGGGTCCATACACAAAAACCCAGGACACCATACAGCCACAGTGTCTAAGTCTAAACCCTCATAATTCGGAGCTCGGGACTCTTCAGTCTTAGGGCATCTTCATCCAAACAAAACTTTCAACTCCTGCTTATGCAAACGGCAAAACAAGCTCACCCCGTCGAGGGCTCGCACCCGCGGAGGTAGTCGGGCGAGTGCAGGCTCAAAGGAGTGGAAGTGGCTTAGCATCTCCTCAAGTCAAGCACACGTCACTCACATGCTTCAGTACTATAGTATATTCTGTTAGAATATAATATACTATTTTGAAACATACTATAGCACTTTATAGTATATTGTAATATTCTATAATGTATAACAGTATGGAGGCTTGTGCACAAAGGCATCATATTGCTATATCTCGATTGCGCTCGAGACAGGCAGAAACGCATGGTGATGATATCTCATGAGACATCGGAGCGGACAACAGCGGCCCGACTCCAACTTCATGTTTCACTGATCTCTCTCTACCTTCGAAAAGGCGCCCACCCCCCTCATATAAAATACTCCCAATACTTTTACTAGTATATACGACAGTGGAGAATACTTAATATCGAGGGGGTGAGGGGGGTTGCCCTGAAACCCTAAACCCTGAAACCCAGCCATCAAGCAGACGCGCTTTTTCCCCTCGACCGTAGTTTGCGCGACAATGCGACGCCCATGCACGTCCCGTAGGCTGGCAAGAACCACGACCTGCGAAAGCATATTGTGGAATATGATCGTATTCTACAGGAAAATAGCATATCATATTAAAGTATATTACAATATTTTGCAGTCTATTATAGTATTGTAGCGTATATTGTAGTATACTGTAGTATATTGTAGGTTATAGTATATTGTAGCATATTACAGAATATCATTGTTTCTGACAGTATATTTTGCTATATTAAAAGTGGTTGCAATGGCAAAGACTGTTCAAACATCGCAGTGGTCACTATCACAGTCATACGGCTGCGTCACAACCTATCAAGGTGGATTGTGTTTCTCTTGCTACCCGCTGTGCTTTCTAGACGTCATGATCCCACTAGACACGTTTAGATGAACTTGATGAACATTGTAAGCAAGATCTTTGGTTTTTGTGTTCGTGCATTCGCCAGTTGGACTTGACTTTGCAGTTTGGAGTCACCTTCCATTTAGTCCAAGTTCCTTGGCTTGGAGGGTGCAGCTGGAAGCTTTAAGCAATACAATACTTTTCCATGGCGTTAAACTCAGCAAGCCTCGTGACTGACAAGCCCGAACTGCTCACAGTTCATCAGGACATAACCTCACAAGACCGTGCATTTCAAGGTAGGTTGGTGTCACAGTTGGGCGTGGGCACTAGTATCAAAAGCAACCAATTCGAGCTCTGCAGTCTACGCTCCAGTTTTTTGCCATGCAAGTTCCCTCTAAAGGCACTGTGAGGCCAGACCTCATCAACAGCATTCGCTGGATCCTGATGGCGGACCCAGCTGCTCTTTCATAAGGGCCGAACCAACAAGGAAGTTCAGAGACGCACTCTTGCAACCAGGTCGCTGAATGTCCTTGGTTGCACTGTGCTCTGAGACTACACAGTTCGCTGCGGCAAAGTCTGGGCAAGCTGCCCCTAACCTTGCAGCGTTGCCTACGGCGTCAATGCTGCAATCAGCAGTGCCAAAACAACGCAAGGAAACACTGCTCGCTATGCAACTCAGAATGTCTGGTGCAAACAAACACTGAGCCTCCAAGATTCAAAGCCTCCGGCTCAACTGATGCTGACTGCATGTCCTGGGATGAGCCACAGAGCTAGTATCATCACCCTGCATGGCATCATGTCACTGACTGCTCTGAAGAATCCCATGTTTTGCCCCGTGATGACGAACTGTTCGGTGAAAACCAGTGATGATGATTTCTCTACTTCTGTATCCCTGGCTCATCATAGTGGTCACATCGGTCTTAAAGACGAGAATCTACTGGCACAAAAAAAAGTCAGAGCCTGGTCATTCCGATTGTGTCAGGGGCCATTGCTGTAGACATGGATGTCCATGCGCTTTAAAAACAGACCAAGGATCAGCAAAAAGCCACAGGGTCTCTTGCCAACGGCGTGAGCGCGAGCACGCCAGAATAGCAGCCCCAAAGGAAACTCCCGTGGCTTCAATGCTCAAGGAGTGCATCCTGAGTCGAAGATTCACATGGTAGTTTCCCTAAATAAGGGGACCCCAATATAAACCCCAAAATACTATAGTCCTTATTATAGGGACCCCCAAAAAGGTACCCCTAATTTTGGGAAACCCCCACATTTCAGCAAGGCTTTTGTCGCAAAAACAATGTTGGAATCAGCATCCCGGGGGCTTCCGAATGGATTTAGGTTTTAGGGTTTAGGGTTTAGGGTTTAGGGTCAGATTATGAGCTGGAGATCTGTAACTAAAACTGAGCATGAAATGCAACTGGACACATCCTTCAGAAGTTATTGCCTAAGCTGACACCCACCTCATACGCAGCGGTAACAAGCCAGATAAGGCTACGAACGCTTGCGCTCATGCCTGCAGCTATGGCATGATGACACACCGTGAAGAAAGTGCCTAGGACAATATGGGGGATTATAGAGGCAGTATAGGTGATATAAGGTTTATTGCGGGGTTTTATGTGGGATCGAATCTAACTTTTTTGTCAAGCAAGTGTCCCGAACAACAGATGTAAAGATTTCTGCCACACCGAACCCTTTTCACAAGCGCTGATGGCAGCGTTCAGTGTCAAGGTGTTCGGTGTCGTGTCCGCGCGAAGCATGAAATCCAACCTCAAGCATGTCTTCCTCATGGGGTTTTAAGGTGGGATTGAGGGATATATAGCATGTAGGGCTTTATGGTTCAGAGTCTTCCGCATTCCTTGCTTTGCAGGCCTTTATTGGACTTGATGCCACATGATGTGACAAAACTCATGCCTTTCTATGATTCTTGAACAGCTTGCCAAAAGTGCAGGTAGCAATGCGAGAGCTGCTTGCCAACGTTCGGCGTTTTCGCAGGCGCTGACAGCAGAACTCCAACCTCAGCTCAAAGCGTTTCAAGCTGTGCGGGCCGCTTACATTGATTAACAAATCCTCATGA